TTTTTTTTTTCATGCTATCTGTATGGAACTTTGATATAATTTCCCATAATTTATGTGCTACAAATGAAATATGTTTAAAATCAGCTTGCCTTTAAACTGTGTGAATTAATGCCGAATGTTGTTAGATAAACAAATGAGTTTAAACTTTTCTTGGTGTCATGTTTTGACTGGTTAAGCTGTCTGTGTGACATGCACACACAAGTGTGTGATATAAAGTTTTAATTTCAGTTTGAGTGACACTCTGTTATGCAAACCCTGCGTGCTTAATAATAATAATAAATTATTGAATGATTCACAGCTCTCTGAAGTATTCAAAAGCAAACAGGAACAAAATGAGCGAAAGAGGTGAGTACAACTGTTTTCCAGCATTGCATAAACTAGCAATAATATATAGGTACATTTATTCTACAATGACTATAAAATATCACATTTGTTTCCTCGTAGTTCCTCTAATTTCAAAAGAAGATGACATTTATGTGGCAGGTAAGACACATTCTGTCATTTCACTTATCAGTTATTTTTAAGTAAGCATATGGCTGTGAAAGAGCCAGTTTCATTTCTGCCATTTAAATTCAGTGTCTGGAAAGTTTGCCTTATAAACTCCAAGAAAGATTCTTAAATAATAATATTAATAATAATAATAATGTAGTGTGAAATTTCATATACACTATGATTGAATAACCTTTGAATGGTGCTCTTTTTCTGCACTATTACAAATAAAACAAAGTATAATTGTACAAATATGTATGGAAAACAAACGTGTTGCAGCCTGCTGTAGTTTGTGCACCACTCTTCCCTTATAGCAGTGGTTCTCAAACTGGGGAACGCGAACAAAATTCTGAGTTTTGCCATTCATTTAATTCTACCCCAACTTAAAGTAACAGTAAAACCGAACATGTATTTCTGACAAGCAAAATGCCGCTTCTAATGTAAAAACAGGAAAATGGGAGTGCCGTAAACGGTCAAATACATGATATCCAATCAGCTTACCTCATCGTTTGCGGTCAAAACTGACTGCATCCACACAATGTGCATGTGATAGGATGCCCGCTAAATGTTCTGGTGGGTAAAACTGGATCAGGAAAGAGTTCAACAGGAAACACCATCCTGAATCTACAGTGTTTTAAAAAGGCTGTTTCACCAGAGTCAGTTACTACAACCAGTGAGAGACATGATGTAAAGACTGATGACCGGATCATCTCAGTCATCGACACTCCAGGCCTGTTTGATACAAGAATGACAAAACCGAAAATTAAGAATGAAATAATTAAGTGTGTCTACATTGACACGCACTGTACATTGAGATCGATTTAAACTCTCTTCGATACATACTCCTGTGCGTGTTAGTGTTTTCATGTTTAAAATACGAGCAATAAAGCAAATTTTCCTGATTATATCCAAACGATGGCAAATGTGACAATTTTTACAACAATTCATCAAAAAAAGGTAATATTAAGTGAACATAGATGTAGCCTTTTAAACAGAATACTGTCATGTTTGGGTTTTATTTAGCAATGAGGTTCACAGATGAAGAGAAGAGTGCAGTCAAATGGATTCAGGAGAACTTTGGAGAAGAAGCTGCATGTTACACCATCATTCTGTTCACTCACACAGATGCACTAGAGGAGAAACCATTAGATGAGTATATCAGAGAAAGTAATGATCTCAAGGCTCTTGTTAATGAGTGTGGTGGCAGATTTCACTCGATCAACAATAAAGACATTGAGAACCGCTCTCAGGTCACAGAACTGCTGAAGAAGATTGAGAAGATGGTGGAGAAGAACGGAGGACAACATTACACTGATGAGATGTTTCAGGAAGCTCAGAGAAGGATACTTGATAGAGTACAGTTCTGTGAGTGTGTGTTTGGCTTTTTATGTCTTATCAGGCTTCTTCTTTTACATATATTATCATGATATAAACAGTGGTGTAAGAAAAAAAACGTATTTTCTCGATTGTTCCTGCATTATTTCATTTCTTAATGTACCAAATTCAGTAGAACTATTTAGTCTGAACGTTATGTTTATGTCTGAATTGTAATTGCTCTGTTTCATTTAAAATTCCAATTGACAGGGTCAGAGAAACCTCGTATTGTGCTGCTGGGTAAAACTGGATCAGGAAAGACCGGAGTGGTGGAAACCATCCTGGGCAGAGAGAGGAGAAATTCACCAAATTCTGAAACCTGTGAAGTACATGAAGCAAATGTGGATAAAAAGAGCATGGAAATAATTGACACTCCAGGACTGATTGATGCATCAAAAGAGAAGATGAAAAAAGATGAAATCGAGAAGTTTGTCTGTATGTCTGCTCCTGGTCCTCATGTGTTTCTGCTGGTCATCAGACTGGACACGAGATTCACAGACGAAAAGAAAAACACAGAGAAATGGATTCAGGAGAACATTGGAGAAGATGCCGTACATCACACCATTATTCTGTTCACTCACGCTGATCTATTGAAGGGAAAATCATTAGATGAGTATATCAGAGAGCGACCATATCTGCAATCACTGGTTCACAGATGTGGTGACAGATCTCACCCATTCAATTGTCAGGACAGAAACAATCCCAATCAGGTCACAGAGCTGCTGGAGAAGATTGAAAACATGGCAGAAGCAAATGGATGGAGGTACTACACAAATCAGATGTTTAAAGAAATTCTCAACAGAAAAGTACGTAGACTACGTAATGCTTCAGTAGCAATTGGATCAGCAGGAGTAGCAGCCATAATAACAGGTGGTGCTGTCCTGGGAGCAACAACATTGGTCGCAGCACCGGCACTAGTTATTGCAGGAGGAGGTCTAGCTGTAGTTGGAGGAATAGGAATTTATAAAAAGTTTTCAAAGAAAGATTAGGACACTTTTTCTAATCATTTTCATGCATGACTTTTATAATTGTTGTAATTGTGGTTGTGGAAAGATGACACCATAACAGGATTAAATTAGCCATTTTAATAAATGGCTAAAATAAGCATTATGACGATCATTCAGTCTGAGGGGTTGTACATAAATCAAAAGTTTCAGATTAATAGTTTCCTGTAAAGGTGAATAAACCTTTTGATTGTGCTTATGATAAATGTACTTGACACAGCTATTCTGACATAAACACATGATTTTATGTTCTACTTGTTGCATTTATGCATTTATATGATTTACATACGTTGTTATGTGACGGCTTTGAAGGCCACTGCTATGTCAATTCAAAATTCAAGAATTTAATAAAATCAGACTGATGAACTTACTGTTGTTTTTTTTGTTATTTTTGAAGCTCAGCACAGTAAAAAGCCCAGTGTTAAATTAACTCTCCCTGGAGTTTATTTGAGTCCACACTCAAGAGTGTTAAAATCAACACTGAAGAGTGTCAAATTAACACTGAAGAAGTGTTAAAGTTAATGAGATAATTAGGTGATTAATTGAGTGATGATTGACCATTATTGAAGACACCTGATGGTAACAAGCAGAATCACCAAAGGAGAAAGTCACCGGTTTTAAGTCACCATTGTAGTGGTCAGTGTTTGCATTAGTTGGGACCTTGACCCTTAAACTTTAAACATAACATTTTTTTTGGCTACTACAAAATCTAATGTTAATTAAAGCTGCAAGCAGCGATGAACGGGCCCTCGCACCCGGGCTCACCGCCACCCGGTGGCTTTAGGAAAACAGCAAACAGTGGGCAATATGCGATAAGTGGTAAATATAGGAGGAATATGTCAAAGTCATTCACATGTGCCAAACTTCCTGCTGCCAGCTGGTGGCGCTATGATTATAACTGGATGTTGGCATGTAGGTGTCTTCAGGCCAGCACTTTTATTAAACATGTGAAGTCTGGTGCAGATTGAACATGGTATGTTTGAGTTAGTGTAAAGCATGGCATATCTTGTTGCCAACAGGTGGCACTATAATTATTACAGAACATTGACATGTAGATGTCTTCAGGCCAGTATTCTTACTAAACATGTGATGTTTGGTGCAGATTGGACATTGCATGTTTAAGTTAGTGTATAACAAGTAATTTTCTGTTGCCAGTAGGTGGCGCTATGATTATAACTTAATATTGGCATGTACATGTTTTCAGGCCAGGATTCTTATCAAATATGTGAAGTTTGGTGCAAATTGGATATTGTATGTTTAAGGTAGTGTAAAACATGCCATTTCCTGTTGCCAGCTGGTGGCGCTATGACTATAACTGAATATGGGCACGTAGATCTGTTTAGGTCAGGAGTCTTATCAAACATGTGAAGTTTGGTTAAGATCGGACATTTTATGCCTGAGTTACAAAAACTTTTATTCCCATGGTGAGACATCAAACTTTGTCACGGCGCCTTGGACTCATCCTTAAACGAAAACACAAGATCTTCACAACTTAAAATCGCAAAGGCCTTTAGATCAGACTGACCAAAAAAAAATGTTGATGTCATTAAATTTCTAAGAGTAGTTCGTTACAGCGTAAAACATGTCACTTCCTGTTGTCAGCAGGTGGCGCTATGACTATAACTGAATATGGGCACGTAGATCTGTTTAGGTCAGGAGTCTTATCAAACATGTGAAGTTTGGTTAAGATCGGACATTTTATGCCTGAGTTACAAAAACTTTTATTCCCATGGTGAGACATCAAACTTTGTCACGGCGCCTTGGACTCATCCTTAAACGAAAACACAAGATCTTCACAACTTAAAATCGCAATAGCATGCTTTAGCACTTAGCTAAGTGTTGCTAGCATCTTTTAGTATGTATCTAGCATGTTGCTAGCCTATTTTACACTTGCTGACGCTTTTTAATATGTTCCTAGGAGTCCATAACAGTGTTAAACATGTCACTTCCTGTTGCCAGCAGGTGGCGCTATGACTATAAACCGAGAACGGGCATGTAGATGTGTTCAGGACAGGACTCTTGAAGTGTTATTAGGAGATAGGGCAGATTGGACATTGCATGTCTGAGTTACAGAAACGTACTCTTTCACTGCATTAATAGCATGCTTTAGCACTTAGCTAAGTGTTGCTAGCATGTTTTAGTATGTTTCTAGCATGTTGCTAGCCTATGTAATAGTTACTGACGATTTATAATATGTTCCTAGGAGTCCATAACAGTGTTAAGCATGTCACTTCCTGCTGCCAGAAGGTGGCGCTATGATAATAACTGAATTTGGGCATGGGTATTTGTTCAGGACATAACACCTATCAAACGTGTGAAGTTGGGGCAGATTGGACACTGCATGCCTGAGTTACAGTAACTTCCTGTTTCACTGCATTAATAGCATGCTTTAGCACTTAGCGAAGTGTTGCTAGCATTTTTAGTATGTTTCTTGCATGTTGCCAGCCTATTTAACAGTTGCTGACGAATGACTATAAACAGAGAACGGGCATGTAGATGTGTTCAGGACAGGACTCTTGAAGTGTTATTAGGAGATGAAATAACTGCTAAGGCTGTGATTAACGTTACATTTGTGTCGATTGCAAGTGACGTTGCAGGTAGCGGAGAGTGCAAGTGAAGATTGCAAGTGACTTCCTAATTTAGTTTATTTTTTCTTGTCATCACCACCTGGCTACTGTTGTAAAATGTTGAGCGTTTCAAACAAAGAATTATAAATAAATAGAACAAAATAAAAAATAAAGACTGCAAGTGACATCAATAGCGGAAGCGCAAGTGTCTGAGAGTGCAAGTGCAAACCCAGACCCTCTTGTATCAGCAGGGAGCAACCTTCAACCTTATGTAGCCTATTCTGTTTTAAGTGTCTATTTTCTTAGAATGGTTCTATTGTGGATAGTTCAGGCATTACATGCAAGAAGAAATGAAAATGACATTGAACATTTTCTGAATACAGTTGGTTTCCTTCAGAAATACAGTGATATAAAAACACCTGCGCCAGTTTTTAGTTTTTAAACGTGCAGTGCACATGTTTATGCAAGGAAGTCAACGCCTTTTGGAAAATCTATTTGTGGCAGTCAGTTTTGATATTGTGGTGGCCTGCCATAAATAAATCAATGTATGGAAAACCCTGATGTGTATTGTATAAACATTTTCATATATAAATAAAAGTGATTGCATAGTAAGAGATAAACATCACGTATCTTAAATTTATACAATTTTCACGTGTTTTGATAGGATAATAGGAAAGTTTGTATTACATTTATTGAAAAAGTCAAAGTTCCAGAGGCTTTATGCAAAAATTGTATTCAATATTTTATGTTAAATAATGCTCCCTGAAAATAAGTGGGAAACAATGAAGATACATATTGAATTATTTGTTTACTAACTTTTAATTGTTAGTAAGAATGCTTAACTTCCCTCAAATTCTTTTTCACTCAAAGTTTCAATTTGAGAGTAATATTTCAGGGAAATATAAATGTTTATATCTTTTTTTTTTTTATGTTCCTAGGAGTCCATAACAGTGTTAAGCATGTCACTTCCTGTTGCCAGCAGGTGGCGCTATGACTATAAACCGAGAACGGGCATGTAGATGTGTTCAGGACAGGACTCTTGAAGTGTTATTAGGAGATGGCTGCCACGAATAAATCAATGTATGGGAAACCCTGATGTGTATTGTATAAACATTTTCATATATAAATAAAAGTGATTGCATAGTAAGAGATAAACATCACGTATCTTAAATTTATACAATTTTCACGTGTTTTGATAGGATAATAGGAAAGTTTGTATTACATTTATTGAAAAAGTCAAAGTTCCAGAGGCTTTATGCAAAAATTGTATTCAATATTTTATGTTAAATAATGCTCCCTGAAAATAAGTGGGAAACAATGAAGATACATATTGAATTATTTGTTTACTAACTTTTAATTGTTAGTAAGAATGCTTAACTTCCCTCAAATTCTTTTTCACTCAAAGTTTCAATTTGAGAGTAATATTTCAGGGAAATATAAATGTTTATATCTTTTTTTTTTTTTTTAATAATGAAACCTTTTTAAAAAGTTTTTTTTTTCCATTACAATGTTATAAAAACATTTTTACTTGAGTCATATTGTTTTTTTTTCTGTTTATTGTAGATGCCGAAGAAGAAGGGCTTTCGTATGCGACGCACTCCAAGATCCATCAAGAGTAAGAGTGATGATAATGCATGCATATGTTCAGAAAAATTGCAGCTGTCTGTTGTTGCTGGACTGATGTTCGAGCTGCACCACTGAATTGTGATGTGAATGCATTGATTGCATGTAGTGTTGTAGCAGCAATCAAACATGTCATTGCTCCTGTATGTACATGGGTACACACCGATGTTGATGACATATGTGTGGAAGGGAGTAAGCTAGCCACACCTTCACAGCGCAGTTAGTGCCATCATTCATCACAAAGATTATTTTGTGGTGGTTGATTGTACCACTCGTGATGTGTTTGGGATGGCATCTGCTATTGGCACATCTGTGGCTGTTTTTAACACATGCCTTAATGATCTGATGGTTCATATCAGGAATCTAAGGAAGTCTTTAGATGCACAGTGGTATGCCGTTAGTAGCATTTCTGTGAAGATGGGTCAAGAAGACTCTGAGCTGCAGAGTGGTAAAGTGTTTACAGAGAATTATGTTGACATCGAAGGTGCTGCTGAGTTTGATAGCAGTTTTTTCAGGCTTAAAAGTAACAATGTTGCCACTGAAGTTGCAGCTGAGGTGGAGGAAAGTTCTGTCAGGTTTGAAAGTAACAGAAGTTTCAGCTAACATTGAGAAAAGCACTTCTGTCAGACTTAAAAACAGTATAAGAGGATCATTTCATCAGGGGAATGAGCAGTTTCAATATGGAGGACTTCAGTGTATGGCAATAGCTTTGGTAAGTCTAGCAAAACATAAAGTTCATAGTGTCTTTTCATGGCAGACGAAAGATGTTGACAGAGTTGTAGTTTTAGGTGATGA